AGTTCTCCGTGTTTTCATATATATTGGCTTACAGCATACAAACATTAAAATCATCAGAAATAAATATTTCTAACCCAATAAAATGGTAATACAATCAAATTAAAATTATTATCACAAGATGGGGAAAGAGGAGCCAAATGCATGGGAGGGAGATGGGATTAGCTCTTAATCAACCACCTCCAATGTAATACTCCCATATTGGGGGCCCAAGTCATCTGGTAGAGCCAGATCTTGAGGTTCTTGCAGAAGGTCAGATGGGAGTTAATATCACCACAGGGGGCAAGATAGTCCTAAGGACAGAGAAGATTCTTCTTCTGGACCTGCCAGCCTAAATTTAGTGACTGACAGGTTCCACAGTATGACCCCTCTGCCAGCATGGGTGGGGCAAGCCAATCACATTGCGATGAGACAGTTCCTCAAGTAACCTGGACCCATCCCATGCAGGGCTTTAAAGGTGATAACCAACGTCTTGAATTGCACCTGGAAGCAAACAGGCAATGAGTGCAGCACGTGTAGCAGTGGTGTAACATGGGTCACTATAGGAGTCCTAAGAACCGAGCACGCTGCTCACTCTACATCAGCTGTAGCTTCCGAATGCTCTTCAAGCCTCATGTAGAGCTCATTGCAGTAGTCCAAATATGAGATGGCTAGAGCTTGAGTGATTGGGTGCTGGGACTCCTGATCCAGGAACTGGTGCACAAAAGAAGTGGTGCAAAGGCTGTAATCGCCACCTGCTGTTATAGCAATGATGCAATAAGTACACCATTGGAAAATCTGAAAGGTTAGAAATAGGTGTCATGAATAAAATCTATGTGAGTGCTCCGAATAAAAACAACAATTTGGTGGCACATAATCTAACTATTCTCTCAGTTTGGGAGGTGTATGGTTTGCTCTTTTAATTAGACTATTGTTTTCTGCCTGCTGGTATGTCTGATACTGATTCCTGTTTATCTGAGTGTTGGCTGCTGAAGAGAATGTTCTAGTCTCTTTTTTTCTTGCATTTTCTTACCCAGAGGAAAGGATGAGCAATAGTCTAGCATTCTTATATATTTCTGTCAAGTCCAATATTCCCTCCTTGAAGCTCTTGTTTGAATAAAAATGGATGACAATGCATAGTTTAGCAAAGTGTGAATAAGAATTGCAATGGAAAATGAGCCAGAACACCTACTTTCACCTCTTCTATCTCAGAGTAACAGTAAAATTATCGGGCAGGTTTAGCAGTTTACATAACAGCTTCTTTTCTTGCTGCTTTAAAGGGGATAGAGTACTTATCTCCTTATCAAGTCCAATATTGTTTTTTTTAAAAAAAAAACAAACATTGTTTATAATATAAAATCAATAATTTCCTACTCTAAATTGATTTGTTGTATTTGCAAACTTTGCAGACTAGTCTTACCCACATAAAACCAATATCTACTCAATTAGTACTAAGTTTACTTCCTATAGTAAATACGCATGGGACACAATCTGAAAAATCTAAGTATCTCAGTTTTGTGTGAGTACATTTACGATTATAAAGTACAGAACTGTAAAGGGATAAAATTCGAAGGGACATTTGGGATACTGAATTTGCCTGCTCACCTGGTACAGTAATCCAGTTAACACATCACTGACCAGCATCTTCATGATGTTAAGAAAGAGAAATAAAGATTTGCAAAACTATGCAATCTACACATTCAATATTAGATCCATCCTTGGACTTGGAAGAAAAGAGGTTATGAACAAAAAATACAAAGCTCCTGTTCTTAATTACAATTGGTTTGTTGCTTCTTCTGGTGATCTTGATTAGGTTTTGTTTATTATTGTCTTTAAAGTCAAATTCACACTGGGCACCATATATTCATTCTATTCATGTATTAATTTTAAATAAATGAATGAGAAGTGAGGAATGGAGAGGGAGAAGTATTTAGGAAGTCAGTAATTCAAAGAAAAATGAGTCTGGGGCAGGTGTTTAGTGACAGAGGAAGAAATAAAAATATTTGGAAAATTTACTGAGAGATAGAAATTTTACTCTCTGACATTCATGTCTCTCTAGGGAAGCAGAACACGCTTGAAAATAGTAGCCTCACGTTTTATTGCTCAGACATCTCTTTTGGATTTGCTTGAGTTCTTCAACAAACTACTTCTCTTCCATTTTTATTTCTGTGTAATAAATGTCTTGTGGTTAACCATCCAAAGCACATTACTTACAGATTTCTTTGGCATTTTCATATTTGAACTCTGGTAGCACAGTGAACATTTATTCTCATTCTAAAATATATAGTCCAAATGATGATCTACCAAACACATGTTTTAAGTTATGCATTTATTTATAAACCAGATTTAGTGCATGTAGTCTCCAGTCTAGCCATGAAACTCTGGGTGGAGAACATAAGAAAATTCAGTGCATCATCAAACCAACACCAAGAAAAACCTAAGTTTCTCTCCCTTGAGAATTTTTTAAAATCTTTGAAGAATGTTGTTCTGCCTGTTTCAAAAAGTACCATTTTGACATGTGTGAGCAATTCCTAGTATGACATTTGCTTTCGTATAAATTACTTATGCAAGTGAACATACTAATTTCAGGAAGTAGGGAATAAAACAAGTGTTCCTGTTACCTTTTTCCTATAAGTAGTAATTCATTAAAAAGGTCATTAGTAAAAGTACAAATAACTAGTCTCAGAAATGTTTTGTGTTTAAAACTCTTACTGAAGGTGAGGGAGGAGAGGATTTCCTAAGATTTATGGAGAACAATCATAACTTTAAAAGAAGTTTAGGCTTTAAAAGTTCCCCTCACATTCCAAGAAGATTTAAGAGGAACTTATAACATGAATATACACTCCAAATGGTCTGTAGTTTGTTGGTCTATAATTATAGCTGAAACTGGAGGGCAAGAAGTACAGATTAGACCACATGCAGTCTACTAGTATTTCTTTTGGGATTCCTAGAGAAGCCACAGTATGCAAAAAAGTGAAATTAACAGATGGTTTCATTGTCTGAAATGCCTTTCTGGGTCCTTCCATATTTTAGCTATTCTGCTGCTTTGGATTGGAACTGTCAGTTCTCTGGGGGATTAGTTCCTTCACATAATGAAAATATTTGCTATCTATTGTATGTCTTGCCCTCTTAGCTGCACATATGGCAGTACTTTACTTTTTCATCTAGTAGTTCAGTTTTATTTTTCAGACAAGAAGCATAGGCCAAATGGACACCTGACTCTTGAATCTATATCTAGTTATATTCTTAGAGTTGTAACTTTTATTGCTATTGCCTTAATGGCATGCTTATCTCAGTAAACAAGGAACAGAGTAGTTAAATGGATTCTTCTTGGATTTTCTTCTGCTTTTAATACCACAATAAGGTATTTATAGAAGGGAATTGTATTTATTGCTATATGAATATGGGTATTTATGAATGTATGTTCTAATTTAGAGATTCACAATGTTTATGAGTCAGAGATACAACTTGATATGTTGAGCTTTGGACCCAAAGAATATCATGTCCTCTTACACAAATGTTTCAAGAAAAAGGCACTCAATATGAAGTGGGCCCATCCAAAAGTTTTATTCTTATCTGTATGATTGATTGGCAATATTTTTTGCAAACCTTTCCTGACCAGGGTTCTATTATTATAGCTAACCATCAAATATTCTTAGCATTTATCCCATCATTTTCATAAAGGTAACTATAGTAAATAATAATTTCTATACTGTCTCTATATTTTATCTTTGAAGGGTCAAGAGAAGTCCTCAGTTCTATAGTTGACTCTGCTTATGATCACTATTTGATTCTTCCCACAGTTGGACAATGGCTGTGCGCCACATACTGATTGCTAGAATGTGGTATTTAATGGTGTTTCACCATTTATTTTCTCATTACTGAATAATTTTAACATACTGTATGCTGGTGTGAACTCTGTAAATAAATATGTATGTGTTGTGAACACCTGAACATGTGATAGTCCATGCTTTGTATTTATTAAACTATTTCTGAATCTAATAATAGTTCTAGTGACATTTTTAGCTCCACAGTATCATGCCACTTTGATTAGCTGAGAACTGGGCCTCTTAGTTATTGGGGATGAAATTGAACATAACAAAATGAGGTACTCACTTCCTGTACTCTTCCCATAAAACTAGATACTCAGATGGCAGCAAGCAAAATAAAGCAAATAAAGAGGAGTACACAATAACATGTCAGGAAATGCAATGTTCTGGGACAGAAGTGGTTAATGTGTGGTATTCCATATGTTGCTGAACTATACTTGCAGGCCTTGGCTTATGTAGCCATATCTCATAACAAGTGTTTTTGCTTACTAGTAATAAAATATTGATTTCAGTAATGCACTATTACTTGAGCTTGACTGACTATTATTTTTTTTTATTTTTTTTTAATTCTGTGGCCTGTGGAGGTATTTGACAATATATATATATATATATATGGGGTTTTTTTAAAGAAAACCAAATAACTAATTTTTTAAAAAAATTGTCATTAAAATAATGAATTCTATTTTAGTTGCATCAGGTGTCTGTATATGTATTCAGTAGAAAGAATAGGCTTAATGTATTGATTTAAAATAATCATGTATTGCTTTGACATTATCAATTAAATATTTGGTCATGGGCTGCAAATATTTTTGGACTAATGCATAAAACTTCCATATCTGATTTATTTTATAATGTGTATCCTCAAGTACATTAAACATATGCAAGAGAAGTGGCATTTATTATGTAAGATTGTTGTATGACATTCATTTAGGTATTTATTAATTTTATTTTATGTTTGGAATGACCCTGGTGTTTTCTCTTTTCTTCCCTTCCTCCCTCCTCACTGACTTCCTTTTCCTAAGCATTTATTATGTTCAAAAATGTTTCTAATACATATGAATCCTAAAGTTAACTTTCATGTAATGTCCTCTAAGATTTATATGATAAAGCATATTACTTTACTGTCAATCTCAAAATAAATTAGTTTTGTCAGTTTGGATCTAACGTATTTTCTTTATTAATGCTTTTCTCCAGGTCATTTTGCTAATCTAACTTGTCGAGCATTCTTTGGATACAGTGGAGAAGTCAGTCCTTTAATGTATTGGATGAAAGGTGAAAAGTTTATTGAGGATTTGGATGAAAGTCGGGTTTGGGAGAGTGACATTAGGTAAAAAAAAATATACATATGTTTTGTCAGAACTAATATCTAGTTTTTTGAAATGAATAAAATACTATTTAAAAGAGGAATCAACATTATTAAAGTACACAAAATCATCTGAGCCTTGTTCTTTTGCAGAACAAGTATTGAGAATGGCATAGAAAATGGATGTTTCATGTATATGCAATTATTCTAAAACTGCTAGTTTTAGAGTCTACTATTAAAGCAAGAAGATGATTCTGCAACTGTAAAAATGTCTAGAAATTAACATGATAAAATGCTAACCGAAAATTCTGTGATACATAGTCACTTCTGTTAGTATACTCAGAAACATATGAGTCTCGTGTCATTGGGAGAAATAAAAAATGAGAGTGGAAAAGAAGTGTGCAGATAAGATATATTCATATATTGATTCACAGTTGTCCGTTAGATATATGAACACAGCTTGCCACTATGTACATAATGGCATTCCTGTCTTATGAAAGTTATCATACAAAGACAGATCCCAAAGTACATGTGTGTGTGTGTGTGTGTGTGTGTGTGTGTGTGTGTGTGTGTGTACCTATGCCTATACCTATACCTATATGGCTATACCTATACCTATACATATACAAGAAATACTGAAACTATATATATTAGAAATTATACATATACAAAGTCCATCTGTGATATTCATATTTGATATTTATACTTGAGTATATATGCTGTTTTCAAACAAACAAGTATTATGAGCATAAAGAATTATATACAATGCTTGAAATTCCAAAGAAAAGAGATTACTCCTAAAATTACTCAAAGAACTGCATATATCTTTTGTGGTTATTAATATCTGTTAATTAACTTTTTAAAAATGGAATAATCTAGAAATACATTTTATTTTTTAAAAAAAACATTTCACCTTAATTGCAAAAAAATATAGTAAAGTTATTTGGTATTTAAATCATCATTTTTACAGAACCTGTTCCATTTGGTTCTATTTTTTTTTTTAATCTTAAAATGGGTTTTCAAAGATGATCACGAACAAGAGTAACTGCTGATTTTTTTTAGCAAAAACAATGTTTATAAACATCAATTTAATTCCATATCTCATTAGCATCTACAAACATGTATAAATAAATATTGATAGTAAAATAAACTAGTGGTTTAATTATATCAACCCTACTACTTTTTTTATAAAGATCATATTAAGATTCCTTCCATGCATTATTATTTTTCAACAATTTTTCACTAATCAAAAATATTTCAACAAAATATTTTTCTTTTTATTAGGGTCCTTAAAGAACATCTTGGAGAACAAGAAGTTTCCATCTCATTAATTCTTGATTCAGTGGAAGAAGGGGATCTTGGAAATTATTCCTGCTATGTTGAAAATGGATATGGCCGCAGACATGCTACAGTTATACTACTTAAGAGAGGTGAATATATGCATATATATATATATATATATATACGTATATATATATATATATATATATATATATATATATATATATATATATATATATTTAATGGTAAAAATAAAAGAGTGATTCCTGGGTGTATGCATACTAAGAAATAAAACGTGAGCACCAGGAAAAGTTAAAACATTAAAAGTTTTATAAAACGTTAAAAGTTTAAATATAACACATTTAAAAGTTTTTTAAAAAGCAGACCTAGCAGAGGTCCATCTGTGTAGAAGGTTTTAAGGGAGAGGAGGGGGAGAAGCAACTTGGTGATAATGATCATACACTGGATTGTAGAAAGGCTATGTGCCCTCTTGAGTCACAGATGCAGAGAGGTGGGAAAGTAAAAGCTAGTACGCATGTGGATGGGGAGAATGAGAACAAACTGAGCAATTATGTAGCAATTGACACAGGTGCAACAATTGGCCGGTTGGGACCTGTTACGCGGTCCAGGAGTCGAGCGCAGGCACTGGCTTGTTTATAAATGTCTCTCCCACTAATTCATTTGCACCCTGATGATGTTGGCAGGAGCCAACGAAAGCTAGGTCTGCTTTTTAAAAAACTTTTAAATGTTTTATATTTAAACTTTTAACGTTTTATAAAACTTTTAATGTTTTAACTTTTCCTGGTGCTCACGTTTTATTTCTTTGTTTGTGTGTGTGTGTGTGTGTGTGTGTGTGTGTGTGTATATGTTTTCTGAGGTTTTCGCGGGTGTTTGTATGTAGGTCTTTGGTTGTTCGGGTTTTCTCCCGCGTAAAATTAGAAGTGTCTTGGCAACGTTTCGAAGAAGTCCCATTCGTCATCTTCAGGCTGGTGTTTTCAGCTTCGTGCTTCGAAGAGCAATGTGTGGTCTTAGCTGTTTCTTCCTTTTAACTGCCAGTGGGGGTATGAACTGATTGGGTGGGAGCTTGGCTGTGTTCTGATTGGGTGGAGGAGTGTTCTGATTGGTTAGGGGCTTGGCTGTACTCTGATTGGCTGGGGAGTTGGCTGTGCTCTGATTGGCTGGGGGGTTGGCTGTGCTCTGATTGGCTGGGGGAGTGTTCTGTTTGGGTGGGGGCTTTGTTGTGCTCAGGTTAGTCTGAGTTGCAGGGGGTTGCATATGTATATATATAGCTAACAGAGTGGGAGAGAGCCTGTGGCTTAGAGGTTATAACAACTGCCTAACATGCAGATAAGCCCAGGTTCGAATCTCAGAAAAGTAAGTCTGGCTGAAGAGAGTTAAAGGAACTCGAAATAGCTATACCAGTTCTCTCTTTATTCTTTGTTAGCAACCTAAAAATGTAAAATGATGTCGCAGTTGGCGACTGCTGCTTGTGGATGGCTCTAGATTGAGCTGATACAGGCAAAAGAAAAGAAAAAGAAAGAAGATTTCTTTCTCCCATATTTGGGCTGACAGGGTGCACATTCAAGGTAAAATCTCCTCCCCCTGTCTCTCTCCTGATAGCTAACAGAGTGGGAGAGAGCCTATGGCTTAGAGGTTATAACAACTGCCTAACATGCAGATAAGCCCAGGTTCGAATCTCAGAAGAGTAAGTCTGGCTGAAGAGAGTTAAAGGAACTCGAAATAGCTATACCAGTTCTCTCTTTATTCTTTGTTAGCAACCTAAAAATGTAAAATGATGTCGCAGTTGGCGACTGCTGCTTGTGGATGGCTCTAGATTGAGCTGATACAGGCAAAAGAAAAGAAAAAGAAAGAAGATTTCTTTCTCCCATATTTGGGCTGACAGGGTGCACATTCAAGGTAAAATCTCCTCCCCCTGTCTCTCTCCTGATAGCTAACAGAGTGGGAGAGAGCCTATGGCTTAGAGGTTATAACAACTGCCTAACATGCAGATAAGCCCAGGTTCGAATCTCAGAAGAGTAAGTCTGGCTGAAGAGAGTTAAAGGAACTCGAAATAACTATACCAGTTTTCTCTTTATTCTTTGTTAGCAACCTATATATATATATATATATATATAAATATATATATATATATATATAATAAAATACAATCACCAGGAGAGTTTAACTATAAAAATATACTTTACTAAAAACCGCCGAGCTTTTGTTGGGGACTCCCAACATCATCAGGGCTTATAGATTATATCTTGACAAATATCTATGGATATTTTTAGTCATCCAGATCATGGCTGTCCCAAAGGTGCTTTTTCAGGAGGCAACTGGACTTTCTTATTTTTCTTTGAAGACATTTTATACTCCTTGCAGACAGCGGGTCATTTACATTCTGTTAGAGAGTCATTGAGGCCATTTGGAGGTTTACCTGTATCCTCAGCTGAGTAGTGCAAATGTGTGTGGAGCCTTTTGGGCTGCAGGATGTTTTCTGCCATGTGTCCCTTCACTGTTGAAGACAGGCACAGGCTATTGGGGATGAGTCTGTGTTGTCTGCATGTCAAACTGAAGCATAAATGGTTCCTGTAGTCTGCAATGTTTTCTGGAAATCCATTCTTTTTCCCGCACCATTAGAAGGTGTTCATCCCTTAGTGCATAGCTATATGTCTATGGAGATTCTCAGTCATTCAGGTCATGGTTGTCCCAAAAGTGCATTTAGCTATGCACTTTAGGATGAACACCCTTCAAATGGTGCAGGAGTATGAACAGCCTGCGCCTATCTTCAACTGTGAAGAGACACAGGGCAGAAAACATCCTGAAGCCAAAAATTTGAGGACACAGATAAACCTCCAAATGGCCTCAACAACTATAAGAACACAAATGACCAGCTGCCTGAAAGGAATATAAATTCTTCAATTCCCCACCATCCATTCAGAGCTGAAGAAGCTTCTTGAATGAGAAGTGAAACGTCTTCAAAGAAAAAACAAGAAAGTCCAGTTACCCCCTGAAAAAGCATCATTAGGACAACTCGACAAATATTTTGTTCTTAACTCTGTTCTAATTATTATGATTAAAACTTGTTAAATGTTAGTTACTGTAGAATCTTCAAACTATTTAATTTAGCAGATCATCATTTTGACCAATTTACTGATTTTATCAAAAATCAAAGTACTTTGCAAAATGCTATTTCCATTTGAAGAAACTATGTTGATCATACTTTTTTTCAATGAAATTTGTTCTTTTTCACAGTAATAATTTTATCAAGATCAAGCAACTTTTAATGCTTTGCAGACACAGAGATTTTAGACAACTTTTGGAAAAATTAAAAAAAAAAGTATTTTATACCATTTTATGCGTTGTTCAACTAAGTCCTTTTGCCATTTTGTCGGTAATAAATGCACTAGATAATAGACATGGTCATTTTCTGAAACTAGCATTATATGAATACAATACAATCTAATGCAACTTGTCTTAAGTTGTATGAATTACAACTTCCATAATTTCTTAGCCATTATGGGAATTATAGAGGTTGCAACTGAAAACATAACTGAATGGAGACAGTTAAAAATACATGTTATACAGTTTTATAAGAGAGAAAGAAAGAAAGAAAGAGAAGTAGAGGGAGATGAAAGCTCACAATTTATTAATATAATAGCTCTTAATAATGAAATATAATATAATAAATTAACAGAATATATGCATTTACTGGTAGCACTATAATTTGAGACTTTTTCACAACATGGAACATGTCTCCTGTAGTGCTATTTAATTACAAAGCAACTAAAAATTGCATATATATATATATATATATATATATATATATATATATATATATATATAATGTCATGACTTTCTTAGAATTTTCAACTTGAATTTTAAGCTATGTATATTTACCAAAATATATAACCATATATTTATCATTGCTGATTCTTACATACCATGTACAAAATATATTTCTTGCTTATTAGCTACCTCTAATAATGAAAAAATAATAATTTCCAGTTAACTCATAAATAATTCCCATAGAAAAACAGCAATATGTTTCAATCAGGGCCAGCTTTAGGCTAAAGCCAAGAAGGCACTAGACCAGTGGTTCTCAACCTTTTTAATGCCGCGACCCCCAACCAGTTGTAAGTCGAGGACTACTCAACTGGTGCAGCACCGTTTGCAGAATGGGACTTTTGGCAGGCTCAGCAGGGCAGAGACAGCCTGGACAATTCCTATTGGCTTTTGAAAGCCAATAGAATTAGACTCTATTCAAGAGAGTCTATTCTATTGGCTTTCAAAAGCCAATAGAATAAAAGGGAGTAGCACAGCTAAGGAAAAGGGGAAAAAATGGCGGACTACATTGTTTGGCGACCTCCGTGAAATGGTCATTCGACCCCAAATGGGGTCCCGACCCACAAGTTGAGAACCACTGCACTAGACTATGGCCACAAAGCTTAGGAAGCACCAAATACTGCTGTTCCTTTCAAATCATTCTAAAAATGCTAATCTTCATATCAGTGGGAGATGGGGCACCATCAATCTGGCCCAAGGGTGTCCCTGGGGATTTCAGCATTTATTCTGATGCTTCTCTAGTATATCTGAGTCAGGATTTCATGGTCCCAATTCAATGCAGAGAAAAGGGACACTATTTAGTCTTGCCTCCAGATATTAGGGATATTTTCCATGAATAGTAGGAAAGTTAGTGTTTCCACTTGTCATGGTTAAATGAGCATTTTAGTTTCACAACATTATTTGTTGAGTACAAAAATGAGAGACCCATTAATTCCCAAAGTGATGAACATTCTTGGAAAACATCAGATTTTGTTAACACTTTTACCTGGTTTTGGAATAGAAACAGTCTCTCTCTCTCTCTCTCTCTCTCTCTCTCTCTCTCTCTCTCTCTCTCTCTCTCTCTCTCTCTCTCTCTCCTCTCCCTCCCTCCCCCCCTCCCCCCTCCCCTCCTCCCCCCTCCCTCTCCCTCTCCCCTCCCTCCCCCTCCCTCTCCCTCTCCCTCTCCCCCTCCCTCCCTCTCCCCCTCCCTCCCTCCCTCCTTCCCTCTCTCTCTTCGTGTGTGTGTTTGTGTGTGTGTGTGTGTGTGAGAGAGAGAGAGAGAGAGAGAGAGAGAGACAGAGACAGAGAGGCAGAGAAAAAGAGA